TTTTTTTTTAAAAAAAAAAAAATTGAAAAAAGAAAAGAAAAAGAAAGAGAACGTGCTCAAACCAGATCGCCTGCTTTGCTTTGGAGATACGCCCAGGATTACAGCGGGTGGGGAATACCCTAAATTTTTTAATTATTTTATTATTATTGTTATTTCTAATAGAAATTTCCCCTTGTTCTTTTTCTGATGATTTAGCTTTCGTATCTCAATACTCTTTTCTACCGTATCAAGTACAATAAAAATGCAATCATAATCATTTGTTGCCTAGAGAAGGCGTCTTCCGGGGCTTCTTCCGTGTCGTTCTTCGACCACGCACGGTGTGTAATAAATCCCACTATCACTCTGACCGGGAGCGAAAAAAAGAAAAGGAAAAGAAAAAAAAAAAAAAAAAAGAATGTGGGGCGGACTAGAGTTGATAGGGATTTACGGAGTAGAAACTGGAACTGCAGAAATGGCTTGTGTGGTCTGGAGAAGTGCGTGCCCCGTATTATTGAATTGTAAGGTAACGGGGTAAAAATTGAACAATCCGTAACGGGACTTCCGAGCCGGCTATCGCGGAAGGTCGAAGAGAATACTCCGTTGACCAAGCGCGGTGGATTGAATTGTGGAATGGAATTGAATAATAAGAACATATCAACTTCATCTTCGTAGGGATCCCCATGTGACGGAAGTCGCTTTTGTCATATGAGTACCACACAGTACCTCCAGGTCTGACCCGGTCCAACGGACCGCGGGATTTACACTACGGGAATCGGGGGAAAAAAACTATATAGAAATATATGAAAATGGCAATGAAAGTTTAAAGAAACAATAACCAGGAAATATACAGGACAAGAAGACGGGGCACAATGATAACATTTGGGGGAGTGATGATGATAATGGAATGAGGTGATGACGCCTTCCGAGGAATGCTGCGACTAGGTGTTTGCAATTTTTGGTCTCTTCCCCAGCATGTCTGGGGCATACCCGGGGAAAGGCTGTTCGACAGAACATCAACTCTCGGTCCAGACCAGTTGATCGACCGTCTCCCATGAATGGTTGGACATTGAAATAAGTCAATATTTGTAGGGAGGTCTAACACTGTCGAATGAAAGAGATTCCACCGTTGCGGGTGTGATGGGTTCAGCCGATCATAGGCGCTGATGATATCAAAAAGCGCTGACGAGATGCGCTATGCCCAGAGTCATACGATGGGCGAGATCCAATACTTCATCATTCATCATCGGTCGAGACGGCCTCATGAGGCTGTTGGCGCAACCACTGGCTGAGCTGGAGTCCACGAAAATTAGCCGGGTTGACGCCCCAGGCGGGTAATGACAACAACACAGGCAGCTGTCGGTGTGTCATGAGTCACAGACAAAAAAAAAATTAAAATAAATAAAAATAAAAAAGAAAAGAAACTGCCGCCCTACTTTCGAGAAACGAATGAACCAAGGTTAGGGCAATAAACAGTTCTTGCCCCATACCCCAGATAAGCAAAGAAAGCGAGGTTAATCTGCCCGAAAAATGGATTTGTCCGGTGTTCTCATTTAGGAAATATGATGTGATCGCCGAAAGTAAGCCTCAAGTCAGCCACAAGGCGGCAACAAGACCCTAATCGACGCCTCCAAAAGGTCCCTCGACGCTTCTAGTTGCAAGTTTCTTCCACCTGCCTCCTCTAATTACCCGACATGGTAACGTCTCTTCCATTAAGTCCAGCCAGAATAACGGTTACCTAACATAGATGATAATTCTGTCAACCTGTCGACTAATCTTAGTGTTTCTATCACCTAAACCCTGTCTACCACTTTCCATCAAAGCAAAAGCAACAACTTGGGTGACAAAGAAAACGAGGGAAAAAAAAAATGAATAGTAGTACTGGTAACCATAATATTATTGATAATAATCAAGTAATCGAAGGAAAAAAAAGAAGAATTTTGGGAAATGAACTCCGCAATCCCCAGGTCCACTTGCCCTACCACTGTTCGGAATGACTTCCCCAGATGGTGTATGATTCCTATCTTCTCTTCATCATGACCAGCATATCCATTGTTGATAAGGATGTGCCACAGTGAAGGGTTGTGGGCTTTATGACTGGTTATCTCTGACCACTAAGGCCACTATAATCTCAACTGAAAATAATACTAGTAGTTAAGTAGAATGGTTCTTCTCCCCATGAACCTGGGGAACATGGAGAGAGCCAAGGCCCCTCAGCCAAGCCCCTTCGGGATAAAGAAAGATACGGTGTCCGGCAAGCCAACTCCAGCCGGTCTGGCTGCAGGTTAATTTATCGAGCGCAGCCACCACAAAATCCATCCTTTCAGGCACTCTGATACCATTATTAATGCTGAAAGTATATTATTTGGGGGGATTACGTATGAAGGCTTTTGGTTTTTCTGGGGAAGCACAGCCGGGGTTTCTTTGTCTTTCGACACAGGTGTGATTTAACTTTCAAGAACAATGAACGTCAACATGCAAGGAGGCCTTTTCTTCGGTTGTAACTATTTATTTAATATTACGACAAGGTGAGGGTCTAGACGGCTGACGAAAAGAAAAGATCGTCCAGCAAATAGGTAATGGGAAGGAGACCGAGGAAATGGACAGCATGCATGAAGCCGTCTCAGCTGTTTCCTAGTGGTCGATCACAAGTTTCACCCCGCGGTGGCAAGGACTGTTTCGAGTATTCTAGAGTCATAGGTACTATCAGGAAGGGACAGCTTGATTATCATTTATCATTAGCATTATGTACGTACATATATAACTATAAATATTCTCTAAATTGTATGTATACGTAACGACACCTGATTTGACCGGGTTCTCCTCGAGTGTACCCAATACTGCCTACAGACAGAATATAGATTGTAACATCAGGATCAAATGCAGCAGGATATGCGTAATCAACTCCAATATCCTGGCCTGTTATGCACCCATATTCACGACCTTGAGTACTACTAATGTTATCAGAGAAACGTTCCTAAGCGGGGAAAGGACCGGGCGTCTCCACTTATCGACCGAGAGATATCATGGGATGCCTTGAACCCTTCCGATAGGATAAACTCGACTGTTAAATTTCTGCGATCAGCAGATATTGCATTGCGCCTCCGATAGGAGTTCGCGCCCTCTATGGCCCAGAGGTTCCTGAAGCTAGGGGAGGAAGTGTCGCGACGAGATCCTCATAAATTAAAGAGGAGGGTGGAATAGCTGCTTAGGACGCCCAGATAAGGGTGCCAAAAGTACCCTTGACTTGGGAATACGAGTGCGCATACAAGCTGAAGGTGTAGGAAAATGTATGCACATACCAACAGCATTCACCTGGTGGCTGCACATGACATGCCACATAAACTTAGCTAATATTTTCGACCAACGACCATGCATAACATAATACGATCGGTGGTCGCCCTTCTTAACCCCTTATCTTTGGGAAATACATCTTCTGTGTACAGACCATGTTCAAGGGTTACCTGGGGGGATTTTAATCTCGCACCTGATGCCGGACCGGATGCCGAGAAGTTCCCAGCGTTCTACACAGTATCTAGCCTCAGCATCACCCCACCACGCAATACTGGAGAAAAGGTGGGACAAATGGGGTGTACGGAGTACAATGAAGTTGGCACGCAGGTACCAGTACCCGGTACGTAATAGTGCTTCCACTTACCTTAGTAGCGTCGACACGTAAGTAACTTGGGGTTTCATGTTAACACATAAATTATTTTCTTAAGTCTCACAAGTGTTAGAGGAGCATTTGCAGGCTGATGTGTTTCCCCCTTTTGCCGCTTTTTGCCGAGCAATTGGTTTTGCATAGCCACGGTCTCGTTACTGTTGTTATTGATAATTTAATTACCAATGATTTTATGATATGAGACCAAGAGAGACCGACTTAAGAATGACGGGTTGCCTACAACTGCCTGTAATCTACCCCGTACGGGCTTCAGCTGTCACGAGCTTCAACCACGGCTACTGACTGGCCAACTCGGTAGAATGCAAGCCGACGGTTCTTGCATAGTCAAGTATCACTCGATATCTTGTGAGATTCCGCGTAAAGTCCAGCACGATCTTTAAGGATGAGGGACCTCTGGCATAAGTCCTAGGCAATCTTTTGCCTTTTGCAAAGGAAAAAAAAAAAAAAAAAAGCCCCATCACCCTTGAGAGCCACAATGGACGCCTGCTCACCTCAACTTCAATATGCACAGTACTGTAAAATACTATTGAGAGAAGAAAGATTGAAGGGCGATCACGGAAGAATATGGAAGTGGTTATGATGATGATGGTTTTTGATTTTATTTTACTTTATTTTATTCAAATTTAATTTTCATCATTAGTCTTCATTCTATACTTTTGAAAGGACCTTCCTCTTTTACCTTCCTCGTATCTGACGGGAAGTTCTTGGACTGACGAAAATCTTCCCCGCGATGATCACAGGCGGTGATCTACACACAGATTTTTGGTCATCCCATTATCAACAGATCGCCCCCTCTTAGGGTTGTGGAATCGTCCTCGTTTCGGGGTTCTTTTCGCTCAAATTGGGTATTTACTCCCGCTTTCAACCAATCCCTTATCCCACTTGGGTAAGTTGCGGATAGCCCCATCTTGGGAGTGTGGGATGAGAAGATTATCACCAATATATTTGTCGGCTGCCTACCGTTACCCTGGAAGTTGAAGTGCTAAAGTGGAAAAGGAACCAGAAAAAATTTTGACTCCAGATTGATGATCACTTAGCCGCCAAGTTCTCTCTGGAAGCCGATTATCCGTAGGTCGTTGCTACCCTCCCAAGTACATTGCTCGTCCTCCATCAGGCGACTTCTTACCCCACTTTAAGATAAGAAAATCCTTCCTCGGTACCGCCGTTTACGTACAGTCACTATCAGACCAAGGAAGACATTACCCCATATCGCGGGGCCAGTCTGTGCAGCATACGGAGTATGTCCAACACATCACCCCGGGCAGGAGGTTTCCGATCAGCCTTGATGACATTGAGTTTACTTCCAAGGCGCACGATGGGAATATTAATAATCCTCAATTAAGAGACCGACATCGCTGGCGTGTTTTACTCTTTCTTTCAGGCTTCCGGTCTCGGATCTGGATCAAGTAGGGCTGTATCGATCTGAAGAAGGTACAGTACATCCCGTGGTGACTAAACACGTTGATCCAGTCCAGACCAGGTGTCATTCAGATCACCCCATGTCAATGAACAGGCGCCTAGGATATAGCGTATGCAGTACTATGCACAGCTGAGGAAGACGGCCGATCATTCCATTGACCAACCACTGTGTTGGTGAGTGGTAAAATGAAAAAAGAAAAGGAAAGAAAAGAACAGGTAATCTAACATTGTACGCGTCAGTCTCTCTCTCTCTCTCTCTCTCTCTCTCTCTCTCTCTCTCTCTCTCTCTCTTTTTCTGGCCCGACTAGTCACTCCGCGCTTCAAGGTCCAATTACGAGATCGAATCTAGCACTCAAATTTAGATGACGACAATTTACTACGCTCCATGCACAGGCTCAGCTCCTTTCGCTTAGTTCCGGATAAAAGTCCGCTTAAAAAGGCTGCCACCGAACTGTGGAGTGTGTGGTGATCTAACTCTAATGACGATGTTCGACAATACTACAGATGCGCAAACCAGAAGGAGCAATTTGAGCCAGCTTTCGCATGAGAGTTCATGGCAGGATGTCAACATGACCCCCGGAAATATTCAGAACGGATCTGCTTGGATCTTGGGGTTATTATTTTTTCTTTTACTTTGTTGATTTTATTTTCATTTCTTATTTTATTTCAGATTTTAGCGCCTTAACCTCTGTTTAACCCCCACATTGCAGTTGCATGATGGATTAGCATAAGCATAATGTTACACACGCATTCGACAGCAACCCCATGGCGAACCTCCCGCCCTGGTCATGATGGTTGTGCGACATACATATTGTTGAAGTGAACTATCGGTGCTACGATAATCTTTACCAAAAATAAATCCGAGGAGGATCATGACGTGCTCGAGGGGAAATCGATGGCAATGTTACCTCATATACTATAGTAATTCCCTGATTTCGTTTACTGCACGCGCCAGATCCATCAATAATTGCGTTTTCGTTCTACATGACTGGCGTATATCAAGGGTCTTCAAGCCCCTCAAAGGGGCAACCTGTCACGCAACACACCATTACTACCTCAATCTTGCACTCACTCCTCCGATTGCCGTTTCCAAGCGCTAATGACAACGGTAACATGCTGGATGCTTGGCAAAATTATGTGCGGGGGTAAAATCCGGGGAAGTCACCATAGCATATCACAAGGTCACTCAGAGACCTACTATAGCCTTTATCAGGGATTAGAAGGAACATGATATGCAGGGAATGCTTATCAGCAGAACATTGTTGGTTCTGCGAGGGTACAGACTACTGAACTCTGATAGAGTCTCCCAGATAGATTGATACAGGGTAGTATATTACCTTGGTAATATTGACGCATACAACATTCTGTAACAGATTGCGACAGCGCAAAAGCCACCACCGGGCCGGTCTTACGTACACGCACTGCGAGGCCCCCACAAGGCGCCAAGGCTATCGATCCGGGGGCCCACAAGCTTCTGGAACAGGAGTTTTCGACCAGTCATATTGCGACAGCCGTACCACGCTGATATCACCGATTCACAGGCTCACAGGCGCCGCCCCCAGGTTATGCGGGGCCGTGCTTCCGGAATCCGGTGTTATTCAATTACGCTTTAGCCCGGGCTCCCTACTACTACTAAGAGTACTATCGCTGGAACACCCAATTCGACCAGTTGACATCGTCATTGGTGGAATTTGGTATATCGTGTTCCCTATCAGCGACGGACTTTTCCCTTGATTAGAAGAGCTTCAGGTTCAGGCTAACCTGGTGAGATACCTTACCCATTATCTGGGGATGAGCGATACGGAGTAAGATGAGCCGAAGTGGGTAAAAGTAACCCCAAAGGTCCTTGATTTACCTCCGTACCTTACCCAAGTATCCAAGGAGGTCCAAAAATACCACCTCGTCAGGGCCCTGACGGAAAAGGGAGTGGAAAGGAAAACACCGAGGTTTTCCCATTTGTTGGTGCCTACCAGGACATGAAATCTTTTGTATCTTTTCAATTACTACCCCCATTGATTACTCAGGAGGTTTTTATTTTTTTTAATTTATTTAATCTTTTATATTTCCTGCTTACCTCCCCCTGATTCAACGGTTACTCCGAATCACGGCAATTGTGGTGATGGTCTGGGGAGTGAGGCTTGGCGACCCGATTGGTACCCTTTTTGTTGGCCGATGACACGTCGCCTGAAGAACAATCCGGGAAGGTAAAGCGATCTTCCTGATACCCTGATATTGCCGCCTTCTGCAATCAGATACCATGTGTATCCTCGCGTTCTTACAGGGGGGCACATGATTTCCTGACAAGTCCTTATTTAACCACATGCTCCATGGAATAAATTAGCAAGGTACTAGCGTCACTAGAGTCAAAGCTTGGGGGGAATAGAATATGGAGATAGGCAAAAAGCATGGAGCTTTCCCCTGAATCCTAGTTCAATTTTCTCCATATTCTAACGACTTAGGGGGGGAAATTAATTTAATTGCTAGGTCTGTGTCTCGCCTTTGATTGTACGATACTGCGATACTCTCTAGTTCGAGGGAGCTGCTCCGGAGTCAATCAGGTACTAGCGTGCGATAGCTTGTGATAGTTAATGCCAATCACATGTTCAAATCACAACATCTGGAGTGATTTGAGGAGGAGAGGAGGAGGAGGGGAAGTCCGGAGAATGGTCTTTTTTTTTTTTTTTTTTTCCACTTGAGAGGGATGATCCGCGCTAGATTACCCAATTGCAGCTCTACATTCTGGACTTATCTTTAACCATCATTTGTGACCTGATTTCTTGTAAAGTTATGGGGTTTGTCGTGAAGTTTAGGTATCTTTCTGTTACACGCCCCGAATTAGGTATCCCTTTATTTTACCTATTACCTAACTTACCTACCGAACAGTTGTACCCCATACACTGTGGCACAGTATGTGTGTTACGTCCTGACCGCTATAGCGGGGCAATGACCAAGGGGGGTAACAATTGGAGACAGAAAAAAAAAATTAGATCAGAAAAAAAAATTGAAATAAAATAAAAAGGAACCACATTTTTCACGGAAGATGGCCGGATTGCGTCATGGAAGATGATTTGCAGCTAATTCAGGAGTCGAGACATGGGGCCTGCTTTAGTGGCGCGCACTGCCGTCTTTCTAGATGACAATCTCCCGTCTGGAGGGATGGTTGACTGAGCTGATTGGATCTCAGCCTGGTAGGCTTCGGTACTAGCAGATATTCAGATCACGAAAACAAGAGGTGCCATCAAGCAATAGGATTGTGTTATTAGCTTTTATGTACAATTGTCATACAGCGTATGCCACGTAGTGAAGTTTAAGTTGTTCATTAGCGAGGAGCCGACTGAAACTTGAAGAATTAGACAAAAGAAGGGGGGGGGAAGAATTGACAGTCCAGAACTTCTCGCACGAACAAAAGCCGGAGGCAAAATACCTGCAAGAGTGATACGGTCCATCGGATGATTTCGGGGGAATGCCGGACTTTCTTCCCTCTGGGGGCCGCTCTTGCGAAAGGGAGTTTTATCAGCGAATTGCGGAGAAATTAACTTACCTAAGGACCCTAATAGACCGCTGGCCACTGTCACTAAAGAAAATTTTCCCCTCCTCTCCAGACCCCAAAGGGTTCCTCGGTGAAAGTTCTTTTCCCCCTCATCCACACTAGTCCAGTACTGAGTAGGTGCTCCGTGTCAGGGGAATTTTTTTTTTTTACCACACTATCCGTCCCCCAATCACTCCATACTAAACGAACTTCCGGTCGTAAGGCTCTTTCATACTTCCGCTGAGGCAATTTTCCCTCGGCATCTCCGACCCGACTCAATTCCTCGTTAGTCCTCTGCCGAGTCCGTCCCGAGTCCCGTGGTGGTCTGAGGCCGAATGACTGGACACGGCGCTCTTCCTTTTCCAGGTTTGACCTGAGATCTATCCAGTGGTTGGGTTTACTCTTTTGGGTAATCTTGTAACTTTTTTCCTTTCCCTTTTCTATTCCATTACCATATAGATTATCAATCAGTGAGGCTGCCCACTATGCCATTGTTCCTCGGCATTTCACCATGGACACTGTCCGATTTTTAATGGGTACTAAAGTTTTCCTCTGCGGACCTTTTATTCACTTGCTTCTTTACCGTCTCGGCGTTCTTCTTGAGGACCCGTTGTGGTTGGATAGCGGTGAGGATGGGGTAGAAAATTTTTTCTTCTCCATTGACGCTAGAAAAAGTTGATTTATGGTTATCTACGTTTAGCGTTACATTTCCAATGATCTGTTTTTTTGGTGTGTGTGTGTGTGTGTGTGTGTGTGTGTGTGTGTGTGTGTGTGTGTGTGTATTTTTTTTTTTCCCTCTCAGACCCATCGTATCTGATTGTTGGGGTAAATCCATAGAACTATTTCAGAGACCTAAACTGATCCCTGTCTATTAGGGCACGAGAAGACCACCACTTCAATCACATGCCTTGGTCAAGACACGTGAAAGCAAATGCCCTCAACGACTCAGGTCTCAGTAGTGAAGTATCATCTCTTGCTACCCCTCGGCATTGAGAAGAACTTGTGATAGAATCTCAGCGTATCAGCTATCCATAGCATTTGGTCTGATGTCGACGTACAGCTACGCTTAACTACTGCCGCTTCGGCTTGCTGTATGCGCTATGGCACCTAGCCCAATACATGCTGGCTCTGAATGAACAATGTGCATTACTTATGCAATTGTCTGGGTATACAATCTGGTGGAAGGCGGAGAAGCCATCAGTGACTAGGGGTCATAGGCCTGCATCGTGATGCCATTTTGTGCCTTCATATATATCGAAGCAGCTCTGGTGCACATCAAGTAACCGTACGTCCATTTCGATTGGGTTGGGGATTTCATTCGATTGAACCACGCCGTGCAATCTTAGCGCCCATTGATCCCACAGAAACCATGGGAAGGTCTTTTCCGTATACTATCCCACCCAGACACGATGGTGAGCCATCGAGGAACAAGACTGGCTATATAGTTGGCTACGGCCTGACCCGCTAATTGAGTAGAACGGTATCTTTCTCCAGTTCCTGTATAACTGTTGTCACCTTTGCAACGGAGTCAATGACCAGATGGTGGTTTATAATCAATACTGAATCATCATCAGATCAATATATTTATCTAACAGGGCCGGCTAACCAGTGTTGCTGGGCGTGAATCACTTCCCAGCCAACTCGCAGCTTCTTTGAGTGCTTTGGAGGAGTTATACCAAGCATATACACAGATCAGGCTGTATATAGCAAAGCATCACAGGTGCTGGAGCTGTTTCCCATAGAACAGTTCAGTTCTTCTCAACTGCCGCTGTACGGCTATACATTCGGCAATATTACCGAAAACAGAAATGATGTCGTCGCGCCTCGACGATTCTGCCGCGTCTGCCCGCTTTCCCGATAGTCTCCAAAGTTCTTCTTTTTCATGCTTCACTAGTAGCCTACAATGAACGTTTCTTGGATACTGCTCAGCTATATCGACAATTGTGACTAGGACCCTCTAATAGAACCTGCCCTTCTTTCACGGGCCTTCAAACGGCTCGGCTCTCTTTCCCCTTCCCTCGTGCGTCCGTTCTTGTGTCCTTTCTGCTGTCATCATGGCTCCCCCGCGGCAGCGTGCGACAGCCGTTCACGATGACTCTCGATCCGAAGGCTCTAGTACCACAAGAGAGCATAAGGCTGGCACTGTAAAAGGTCGCAAGGCAGCAAACAGTTCTGCGGTGGTGAACTCTGCCTCCCATGTCAAGATTTCCGCTAGTGTCGCCAATGTCACCAGCGCCCCTATGGGAGATGGCGATCAGTCAGACAATCAACCCAAAGTAAGTTATTCTACTGCCAAATACAAGAAATAACCTCTGTGTATCTCTCTTCTATACTATATAGTAATCTCGTGCTATTTCTTTCCTATCTTTCTTTTTTTTTTTTTTTTTTTTTCAAAATTTGCTAACATCTAATCTTGCCCCAGATCCACTGGTCCGAGATGCCTCTCGAATTCCTCCACTCCTACCGACATGCCTACAAGATACCCTCACCCAGCGCATATCCCACCGAATACTCCCAGCTCCTCCTCTCCAAAGGAATCGGCCTTCTATCCCCTACATCAATCGCTGCCCAACGGGCTCATCTCCGTCAAAACCAGAACACTAACGGCTCCCAGACCAACACCAAAAAAACACATCCCCCCCACATCGCAAGCAAGGCCAATGGCACAAAAGGCCCCTCGGGACACAATCCTAAGGATAAAAGCGCAATTGAAGGAAAGAATGCCTTAAACCATATCATCGGTCAAGACCGCGTGAGCAAAAATCACCTCGCATTCACCGTCCGCAAACATTTCAATAGCGCCGGCCTCGCGGAGCAAGAGGCCATTGCGCGGTTTTTGTACAAAGTTCGCGAAGAGGGCAGAGGAAGACAGTTTCGTCTGAGGTTTCAACCTTAGTCGTTCCTTTCTTCGCGTATACTCAATCTTGTTTTTCTTTCATGATATTGGTTGATACATCGGTGTTTTGTTGGGTTTTCTCATACAACTGTCCGGGGACCACTTTTTTTTTTTTTTTGGTTCTCCGGCGATCGCTGCCTACGTCACTCCGCACAAGATATACTACGATTTTCGGAGTCTTCTGCCACCATTCGCACTGGTCCCCTCTTCTATGATACCCATTGGCGCAGATTTTATTTTTCTGGTCCTACTTAATTTATTCTTTTAATTATTCTTTTTTGATACATAAATTCTCTTCTCGGACTTACGAAAGAGGATACAACCCCAAGAGTTGTCTGATATTTTGAATATCTTGGATTCGGCAGATGTTTGCTCAGGTCTACTTATATTGCTGTCTGGGTGTTAGGATACTCCGTATATCTGGGTTGAGGTCTCTAATCTACTATGTCATGTACAATATCATGTATAATAATGGAGTTCTGGGTTTCACTGTCCTATATCAAGGTGTGCTGAGTTTGGCCTCTTATGTCAGCATATAATGGAGGATATTCGTTGCTTATGATAACATCGGTTCAATCCAGTACATGTTTGCATTTTCCTCATCATGATTTATGTATATACATGCATACATTGGGCTTCAAGACTTAACTATATCTCGCAGGGCAAGAGCCCCGCGAAGATAGAATAAGCACAAAAGTGAAACAAACAGCATTAGCGCATATAATCAGCGAACAAGAGTAGATGTAACGCCTGAATGCAAATTTCCGGTCCATAAGTCTATCATACTTCATAATCCAACTGTCGCATGGGCAACCAATTATTTCCATGCATTGAGACCAGCCCAAGGATCAGCTGACGGGGGTGCGGGCTGGCCTTGCGACTGTGAGGATTGTGACTGCACTTTGTGATGCTGACTCGAGCCGTACGGCCTGCTTTGAGCGTACCCGCCGGGGCCAGAGGGAAAGGGTCCGGTGGATGGGGGGTACGTGGTTTGCTGGGGACGCGGTGGCGGAGGAGGCGGAACGTACCCCTGGGGCATAAATTGCGAGGGTGCAGTGGGTGGAGTTGGATTGGAATAGCCGCTGTATGGGGTGGGTGTCGACGAAAAGTATTGTTGGGTTGGAGGAGGCGAGGCGGAGGCGGGGAATGGATAGGCCATGGGGTTATAACTCTCAGTTAGCGGTGCTGCCGCCCCTTGTTGGAAGGGCTGGCCCGGCACGTATGAGACGCCGGCCCCAGAGTTTGCGTATTGATTATAAGGTGCTGGGGAGTGAGAGAGAGGGGGTCCATGAGACTGTGCTGTGACAGGCGGATAACGCGGCGACATCTTCGGGGAAGATATGCCAGGACCCGGATAGCTGGGTGTTTGGACAGGAGGTGGAGGAGACTTCACCTTCGCCGGAACTCCTGAAGATGAGGAGGAAGAAGACGGCTTAGGCTCTGTGGAAAGACGCTCCATCAACTGCCTGAGCTTTTCCCGTTCGCGATCCTCCTGGTCTGTCGCACTACTCGTCTTCTCGCGCTCGATTTGTCCTAAAAGCTGAGCGCCTTCCGACCTCCGATTGTTGATGAAAGTTTCCACATTCTTCCGCAAGCTCTCCACGGTGTCGCCCATTTCAGTGTAAAAGGTCTGTGCTTGCCTAACGCCCGACAGCAGGCCATTGAACGCATCGTATACTTTTTTATACCGCGCCATGACTGTATTCCTTTGACGAGTGATAGTTTCATATTTCGACTGTTCGGCTCGCACACGCTTGTCCTGGAGCAAGTCGCCATAGATTTTAGTGAGCTCTTTCATTAATGAGGCTTGCTTATGGCTGGCCTGAAGCAACCTGTTTTGGTGAGGGCGGAACTTTTCCAATTCAGCTTCGAAAAGCTGCGCCTCCTGCCCAGCAATGGACTTCTTGTTCAGTATGAGTACATTTGAAATGTCATCAGTATGAACCTATAAGTAGAATATTAGCCTGGGAGAGGATTGAATCTTCTGGGAATATACATACCTTCTCTTTCAGGTCTTTCAGGACCTGGGACCGTTCTCGCTTGAGCAAGTTCAATTTCTTCAGAATGGACTCAACCATGGAAATCTGTTCTGCTACTGAAAGTCCTCCTTCATCGTAAACATCGTCTATCAGGCTTCCTTCCGATGTTGGTGCGTACGGGCTACCATGGCCATTCTTGCCTTTGCCAAACTTAGACCCGGCCTTGATCATAGCCCGCTGGAACAGTACATCGGCTTCGTCTGTTTCTCCTGCAGATCGCATCTCATCAAAGTCCGACTCATACTGTCGGAACGTAGAGAGGAGTTGAGAATCGCTGGCGCTGGCTTCATTGACGGTGTCCCGATACGTGCGTATATCGCCGCGTAGTGTAGTATTCAGCCTTGCACTAGGCTGCTGACTCCAGTCAGGTCCGTACTTAGAGCGCATCTTTTCGCAAACACTTTCCTCCAGGTCAAGTTGCTTAGCGCACTGATCCAGCTGGCTCAGCACTTCCGATTTGCGCTCCTGCAGACCGTCAAAAGCTTTGGTGAAAGATTGATGTCCCGCAAGATCTTGGCACCATCGTCGGAACTCATCGTCAACTGTCATCTCCTGGTCCATTCCGCCTTTGAGAATGTTCAAGCTTCCAGGCAACTTCAGATAGTCCAGACTCGCGGCCATTTCCCCATTTGCTGTCTCAACTTTCTCCGCTTCCGCCCGAATCAACTTAGCTTTTTCCTCATCATAAAGACTGGCTGTCTCCGTGACGGACATAGGTACGAGTTTCTGAAAAATATCGGGCCCGATGATCCGCTGGATATCCTGTCCCTGATAGAGCTCGCTGACTGGGATGGCCTTTGCCGCAGGCAGCTTTGCAACCGCCGACAGGCCTGCTTCGTTCGGAACTGGTTGGTGGTAGATAAAATCATTGTCCTTGGTGAATGTCAAGAGCTTAGCCTGTACAGTTGCAAGGTGATATTTGACGATGTCCAACAGATAAGACCCCGACTCAGCGCTCAGGTTTGAATTGGGAGGTACGGATGATGGGAAGGACTTGGCCCAACTCAATGCAGCAGTTGAGTTCTTCTCGGCTAGCTGAAGCCTGGCAATGGCCACTCCATGCGATCCGCTCTCACTGTCAGCCAAGGCTTGGTAGTAAGAAGCTATCGAAGCCATATGCGCCGCTTTAGCTTGAACCACAACCACCCAGACCTTCTCAAAGACGCCCTTCGCATACTCCTGCATCCCCTCAACGGCTTGTGAGTATAGATAAGCTGCTTGACTGGCGAGTTTTGCAAGGAAGCCGACCTTTTTGTGGTCGGCTACTTGTTTCTCGAGGAAGACCTCTTGACCCTGGGCTAGGGTGATGTTGATCAGAGTCTTAACAGTCTCTCGGTTCAGGTCGGTCGACGGTGCGTGTAGAAAGTTCTCATTGATATAGGTGAACATTCCCGCGGCCGCCTGGAATGAGTGATAGGCGGTTTTCAAGCCCGAATCCTCCGCCCGGTTCTGATCCGCAGCATGGCAGGACAGGACGGCGGATATGTTAAAAATGATCGAGGCCTTCTCGAAAGCTAGGGAGTATTGAGAGGTCGGCTTGTGTGTGAAAGCATCGTACCTATAACGAGATACCTTATGTTAGGGGGCTGAGTAACAAGAAGAGGGCGATCGGAAAGTCCAGACACGTACCACGTAAATGATATTTTTATGTGATTCTCATCCACAGGAAACCTCAGATCCAGGAGCTCCAGCTGCCCATAATACCGGTACAATAGGTCGCGCCCTGTCGCACTATCCTTCCCCGCGCCTCTCATATCTTGGCGCAATCGGTTGAGGGTTGCGCATTCTTGGCCGTATCTTTCCGGGTCTTCACCATAGCTCTGGCGTATATAGTCCTTGAGCGGTTGGATCCAATCAATTTCGTTGGTCTGCTTCAGCGGACATGAGATCATTGGCGACTGAACCATCTTGTAGGTCGGAAGGAGCGGGGAGCTCCCATCCACAGACGGAGAAAAGGTAACGGAGCCGAACCGGAGGTGTGAGGGCGAAAGAATAGCTGGGTGGACTTGCGCGGTGAAAGAGAGGAGGGGAGGATTATCGGCAATGGAGAGCTGTGGGGTAAGGAAGGCAGGAGGTTCAACAAGGTTAGCGGAACGTAGCTGAGGGTCGTTAGCTAAGATTAGTGGGGACACCGGGGAAAGGGGGGAAGATATCCGAACCGGGTGATAATATACGTAAAAATGAAATGAAATGAAATTGGACGAGACGACAGACCAAATCGTGCTGGAGAGGATGGTGGTTGGAAAACTAAAGGTGAAGGTTGGAAGGCAACGACTTTGGTTTAGTTTACAATTTAATGACGCTGTGGCCCATCGACTCCTCAGGCGCCTATATGGCTGAATAACCGCCCGAGTAATTAACTACTTCAATTAATTTCTTTGCCTGATTTCCATGGCACCCCCCGTCATATAATATATGAAGAAGTAGAGAATGTCTTTCGTGCGTTAGGTCTAATTATACATACAAACATACATACATACATACAGCCCCCGTCTCTCTATTGACACACAACCGTTTCTCCCAAACGGTCGAAATGAACGCAGACACAAAATTTCCCAACTCTCGTAAATGGCAAACCCCTTATCTCGCCGGCGCTATGATATTGCGACAAAAAAATAATTCAAATACGTAGTGATAACATGACCCTGAAGGAAGTATATTGAAGCCTTGATTATGTATGTCACTTGAACTCCTTTTCAGTTCGACTTCTTCTCGCCGTTGTTCTTGCTGCTGTCGCCTGATTCCTTCTTGCTCGATTCTTCGGGTGAGTTCTCACACTTGTTCACGAGTTTGTGCCAAGCGGACTTGAGGAATCCTTCATTTTTGGAGTCTCCCGTGGAAGCGTCCCCTCCGGATGGTGGACTGTATTTTCGTCAGTACCAGTGGCAGGCAATGTTGTCCAAAACCTGCGCAACTCACCTATCCTTTCCAACATCCATGACTCGCTTGGCGGTCTTGTCACCCATCTCATCGGCAAGAACTTCCAGGATAGTCCGCTGGTTACCCGTCAGGTACTTGGGCATGGCAACCTTGAACT